ACACCCCAACCAATCCCAACGCCCACCCCCCAACCCCTACTGGGCCCAGACAAACCCGGGAAACAGCCCGCTGTAACCACGTACGCAGGCCCTAAATTTGCGTATGCGTGCATACGTATGCGACACGTATGCGCATACGTGCATACACGTATGCACGTATGCGGAGCCCGCGTACGTGTACGCCATGTTACCCAGATATATTTAAAAAACAAAAGACTTAAAATTATAGTATAGATTGGTTAATGATTTTTTTTCTTACGAATTTTTCTTTTCTTTTCTTTTGCAATCAGCTATTAATCTATCTTTTTTATAATTATGATGAGATATCATGGACCATTGAACACGGGGACAAAAAATTAGACGTTTTTTTTTTAGAGAAAAGTACACTGGTTGGAGCAGAGATGTATACGACTATCTTTACTGTTGAAGATAACACATTTATCTATGAAATCTCACAGGAAGTATAGAAATTTGCATGTGGTGTGTCATCCCAACAAAATAGTGTAAGATGAGTTAATTGTTTTAGCTTAAACATAAGTAGTCATTTGAGTTAGCAGCGATCGCGAACAAAACAATTGGCGGTAACGATACAGTAATGTGTGATAGTTAAGGTTATTGTTATGTTTTTTTCTGGAGCTTTGATGTGTGAATATATATATATATATATATATATTTACTGTATACATCCTTTGTTTTTTTAACAAAGCATTACAAAACGTCGAAGCTATATGTGTGAATAAAATTTACAAAGCTTATGATATATATAATGAAAGTCGAAGCTAAATGAATGAATGTAATGTATATAATCGTCTTCAATATTTGTTAACTTCTAACATAATATTGCTTGTTCGAAATTGTCTATAACATATTTCAGATGCATTATTTTTCATCATGCAATCAATGTACATAATGGATCTTTGCAGGACTGCGGTGGTTTGCAACTTTACGTTATAAAAGGTGGGGGGAAAAACTAAAGTATATCTCGCACAAACTTAGTAATGACAAACATCACTGAAATTGCGGTGTCAGCGGCAATAGCAATTACAACGAGGGGCGGAGCATTTCCCTACCTATACGAGTCAGTCGTAAAATGTAAATTTCGAAATTGCAAACTATTTGTGACTGTCATAAAATTCACAGAGATCAATGTATATGATGTACGCATTTACGAAAAAGCAGGAAACCTAGGAAGCTAAGAGGATCAAGCAAAATGTCACAAAACAACTTTACAAGTATATGAAGAAAAGAAAGCGGTTTTATTACGTGAGGGTAGAAATTTGGGAGGTTGGTGAGCTTTCACAATGGAATTTGAGATCATGCCGTGACGTCCTATTCCAGGATGCATGTTAGACGGTTCACAAGACTCAACACTGTGGATTCCCATAGTGAATGCAGCTGAGAGGATATGCAAAAATTGAGAATGATAAGTGGACGTAATCTTCCAATAGATATACCCAGGACTCATTAAAGATACTATATTAAGTAAAGGAGGGTAATCATTGGTAGCAAACAATTTTAAAGTTAACATAACAATCGACGATGACATGCTAAATTATAAACGTTTTGACATATATTTAAATGATTCATAATGTGATTGTCAATTGAATGACCGGAAAAAAAAAACGTCGTATGCGAGTATATCAAAGTATCTTTTGCATGTTTTAGTACATAAATTAAAAAAAAATGGCAAGAGGTTTTTTTTTTTTTGCATTGTATATATAATATTACGCACAAAATGTTGCTCACTTGATAAAATATTTTATAAACTTGTAAGGAATGAAGACGAAAATCAAATTATGGTACATTCTTGGTTGCTATATGACACTAATTTCCTCAAATTTTATAAGGATAAGTTGAAACACATAAAAGATGCATAAAAAATCTTAATAATTGAACTTTTATGCAATCGAAAAATAAAAAACTCAGCATTTTCTATCATTTTGCTTTCATGCTTAGGTAGTTTCACCATGTTAGTCGAAAAATGTGAGACGGGGCATCCCACCTAAGTTGCTAGTTTAATTGCTAAAAAAATAAAAAAATGCAAAAAAATGGAGTTTTAATTTTATTAAAAAAATAAAAAATGTCCGTTTTGACGAAATCGTAGTTAGAAGAGGAAGAAGCAGACATACTTATCCCCAGCCGACAACTGGGGGGGCTTTCACAAATCATTGTACTGAAGATGATACATGAACATGCTCAATGTGGGCAGGAGGAACTGCTACACCTATACGGATGTTGCGGCTGAACCCCAAATTGTGGTCTTGGAGAGGTTCGAAAAATTTTCCAAAGAAGCATGACTGCATGATTACTGCTTAGGTGGAGGATATGATCTAGTTCTCCCTGAGAGGACACCGATGTTGGTCGCGGTAACTTGAAGCAGATGGGCGCATGTGAACAATACTGAAGATACCACAATACGTCGTGATATTAAGAGATGCTGGGCGCAGTTTCACAAACTTCCGATGCCAAGAGATGCTGCCTTACTGTGGCTGCTTTCGCAGCTGGCAACCCCCTCAAATTGTCATTTCGTCAAAATGAACATCTTTTTTTTTTTGAATGAAATTGAAACCGAGTTTTTTGGCCGAAAACTCGTCAAAATTTGTTGTTCCTGAGGGTTCAACGTTTTAGGGTCCAGCGTTGTAAAACGTTGGACCCCCTGGCTGTACATGGACCTAGCTTGAGACTAGACACCTCCAGGAAGTCCTACCTGGAGGTGTCTGGTCTCAAGCTACGTCCATGTACAACCAGGGGGTCCAACGTTTTTTGTTTTACAAACGCTGGACCCTTAGGAACATTAAATTTTGACGAGTTTTCGACAAAAAAACTCGGTTTCAATTTCGTTCAAAAAATGAAAGATGTCCATTTTGACGAAATGGTCGTTCTCAGCAGTATGGCTCGTTGAGAGGGGTATGATAATACAGATCCACTTTTCAAGGTGCCGATGACCTTTTGAATCTACAGTACATCTTTGGCCCTAGTGCCCACTATCTCGACGTATCTGGACATGGTGGATAGACCACTGGGCTCGTCTAAGTGGCCCGGTGTTTCCCTGGGACGACCACTAGATCCTGTTCGGTGGTGTCCCAACTTGAAGGGAACTCTCCCTTGACGAAGAGTGGGGCTACGTGGCCCAATCACTCAGGGCCTGCATAATGTTCGTCATCTGGGAGACAAGGAACAATAATATATTTGAAGTCAGGTTCCTCCCGGACAAGGCCATCAAGTCTTCGGTGAAATTGCACATTCGATGGAGCATCAAGAGTGACTGGAGACGGAAGGTGTTCAGTACACAGCAGAGGAGTTCCGACCTAAAGTGGTTCCTAGAAACCTGGGCGATACAGGAACAGTTGGCCAAAGTTCATGATGGAAAGCTGGTACTGGATCAGTGGCTG